GTTAACTACACGATAACCAGGCTATGTCCACAACATAAGTGGCCACAATTCTGAGAACTGGCCTCAGAGAAACGGGAACAAGTGGCCCTGGAACTGAAGATCAGTTGTCCCTAAAACAATGAAGGTGATGCTGGTCAGACCACACATGACCAATCTGAAGATGACCATCAGAGCTGACAGCACTGTTTCTGCATGGAGGCTCCTGCCTCAGCCTATAAAAGGTCTCACCCCCACTTGCCAATGAGGGGGAGCGGCCTTTGGACAGATGTCTCCCCTAACCCCCAGTTGCCAGCATCTGAAAGAAAGCAAACCTTCCTCTCCACCAACCTGGCCCATTTATTGACTTTAGAGCAGCAAGCAGCTGGAACCCATACCTTTTGGTAACACTTCCAATCTGAAAACTTTTTAACTAGGAATTTTTCTTGTATTGCTTCTTTGCCAATTTCCTCCCATTTGTTTTTTTATGTTTTGTTTTAAAGTCATATTTATCAGATGTTGGACTTCTCAGACTGATTCTCTGATTTGCTAATCTTTTCTCTCCCACCTTGTATTTTTATTCTAATCTTTAGCTGATTTCCTCTCTCTCTTTCTTAACCTTTCAACACTTCCACTGATTTTGTTTTTAGTTTGAATATCATATTTTTAATTTGGAAGAGTTCTCTGATTATTTCTTTTTCATAACATCCTGTTCTTATTTTAGGAAATAGTGTCTTAATTATATCCTTGTTTTTTTAGGTTTTCTTCTGATCTCTGCTATCTCTTTTTTTCAGTTTCCTCCTTCTGCTTTGTTTATTTTTGCCTCTCTATTGTGTAGGATGGTTTCCTCAGATATTCCATGATCTTGGACTGCCCACCTCTATTTGAGGAGAAAAAAAAAGGTCACAAGTTGACTTGAAAGGCTCTGTCTGTGGGTGGGGCTCATGGTCTGAAAGTCCTGACAAGTGAGCCTTTTAGTTGCAGAAATCTTCAGGTATCAAGGTCTAGAGATCATTTCTCTGGGACCATTCAGTTTCTCAGGAGATAAGTCTTCTTCTAATCAGTATTCCAGGAAGAGGGAGAGAGCTCTAGGGTCCTTTGAGTTCAATGTAAATATTTCTACTGAAGATCTTTTTTATCTTGGCACTTTACCTTTGCCTTTTGCAACAACTGGTAGCCTCCCCGTCTTGAGCCTCTCCAGAGTTTTCCCACGCCAATCAACTTACCTGTCCATCTGACACTGCCTCTGTTCAGTGAAAGCCATCAACACACCACACATTCTCTTCTTTAAAACATCACTGAAGTCTTTTATTGACAATTTCCCCTTTTGTTCTCTTTGTCCTAATTTCAGTGAAGTTTGGGAGGGAGAGGAGATGAATACAGGTAGCCCATCCACCAGGCGTTATGACCATTCGCTAATATGCATGGGACCCTTTAGGAAAATTCTGTATGATTTTCCATACCAATTTTAGTGATGCTAAAACTCTAATAGTAGCAATTTCTCTCTCTTCAAACATGGTCTGGAAGTAGGATTACCTCCATGGGGCAGATATAGCTCTTTGACCTGACTGCTACTTTGTCCGATACCACCACTATTACCAATACTGCTGCTACTAGCTTTTCCACTCCTAGTTTTAACACAACTACAGAAGTGCAGTCATTTACACTGTGGCCTAACATTCCATGACTCACTACTGAAATATGTATCCTCTAGGAAGGAAGGGACAATAGATCAGAATGATGAGCATCCTGGTGATATGTTTTAATAATTAATAGGCTCTTCTATCAGGACTAGTTAGAAATGCAGCATGCAACAGGACAAACATTCAGTACAGAACTATTCGGAAGATGAAGAGGCAGACAGCACTTTGGTCGAAGCCTTCAACAACATCAACAAAACTAACCAGGTTTGAGACTTAGCGGTGGTGGTGCTGGTTTAGTCACCAGGTCGTGTCCAGCTCTTACAACCCCATCGACTGTAGCCCGCTGGGCTGCTCTGTCCATGGGGCTTCCCAGGCAAGAATACTGGAGTGGGTCACCATCTCCTTAACCCGTGCCTCTTGCACTGTACCCAGATTCTTTACCACTGAGCCAGCAGGGATTCTCTAACACTCATTAGGGTGGGAAACACCCAGAACCAGAAGACAAACAAAAGCTTCACTGACACTAATGAGATTAAAAAGTAACCCTCTTATAACCAGTATTAGAGTGGTGATCCATTGGATCATAGAAGAAGCTAGAGAATATCAGAAAAACATCTGCTTCATTGACTGCGCTAAAGTCTTTGACTATGTAGATCACAACAAACTGTGGAAAATTCTAAAAGAGATGGGAAGACCATACCACCTTACCTGCCTCCTGCAAACTGTGTAGGCAGGTCAAGAAGCAACGGTTAGAACCGAACATAGAACAACGGACCAGTTTAAAATTGGGAAAGGAGTACATCAAGGCTGTATATTGTCATCCTGCTTACTTAACTTATGTGCAGAGTACATCATGAGAAATGCTATGCTGGATGAAGCACAACCTGGAATTAAGGGAGAAATATCAATAACCTCAGATATGAAGATGACACAACCCTTATGGCAGAAAGCAAAGAGGAAAGCCTCTTGATGAGCGTGAAAGAGGAAAGTGAAAAAGCTGGTGTAAAACAACATTCAAAAAATGAAGACCATAGCATCCAGTCCTATCACTTCATGGCAAATAGATGGGGAAACAATGGAAACAGTGACAGACTTATTTTCTTGGGCTCCAAAATCACTGCAGATGGTGACACTGCAGCCATGAAATTAAAAGATGCTTGCTCCTTGGAAGAAAAGCTATGACAAACTTAGTGTATTAAAAAGCAGAGACATTACTTTGCCAACAAAGGTTCATATAGTCAAAGCTATGGCTTTTCCAGCTGTCATATATGGATGTCAGAGCTGGACAATAAAAAATGCTAAGCACTGAAGAATTGATGTCTTCAAACTGTGATGTTGGAGAAGTCTCTTGAGAGTCCCTTGGATAGCAAGGAGATCAAACCAGTCAATCCTAAAGGAAATCAACCTGGAATATTCATTGGAAGGACACATGCTGAAGCTGAAGTTCCAATACTTTGGCCACCTGATGTGAAGAGCTGACTCACTGGAAAAGACACTGATGCTGGGAAAGATTGAAGGCAGGAGGAGAAGGGGACAACAGAGGATGAAATGGTTGGATGGCATCACTGACTCAATGGACATGAGTTTGAGCAAACTCTAGGAGATGGTGAAAGACAGGGAAGCCTGGCGTGCTGCAGTCCATGGGGTCACATAGAGTCGGACACAACTGAGAGAATGGACAATAAAAGAGTGGTGATAATATATGGTGGTAAAGATAAGTATCAAGTGTTGATACCATCAGACAGAATGAAAGGGAATTAGAAAGGGAATAATTTTCTTACCAGGTGACTCATGGTTATGGACTGCCATGCCTACCTGACACCTGCATCATTCCTGGATACCACCAAAAATCATCCTTCATTCCGGAACACATATCACATGGTTGGTAATGTCTTATTACTGATATTACTGATTCACTGATATTACTGATTCACTGATATTACTTCACTTCTTTTACTGTTAACTTTTCATTTGCTTATATTTTGTTTCCCTAGTAAAATGGAAATTCTTGAGATCAGGAACTTACAAGCCCAGTGGTTAAGAACTTGGGTTTTAAAGTCTCACATAGAGACTGCCTGTAATCTCCGGATATACACCACCTCTCCTCCCAGAGTGATAGAACCCCAGTTTTTGGCTAGCATGGAGCCACCTGGAATAGTGACTTCATTTCCCCACCTCCCTTGCAGTTTATGTGGCCATTCATCTCAGTTTGAGGCAGCGGGACACACAGAAGATGCCCCACGGCAGCTTCAGGAAACCTTCCTTAACAGACAGTTGCATGTGTCCCTGTGCCCTCCTCGGCCACAGACAAGGCCACGCGGAACCATGAGGATGAGGTCCGATCGGGCGAAGAGAGACACGTAAGGAGCCAAGGTCTCTGACACCATGGGCTGCCCAAGCACCTGGGGACAGCACCACAGGCAAAAGACAGGCGTCTCCCTTGAGTAAACTTCCTCTATTGCAGGTTTTTCTGTTTCTCACACAGGAAAACTGATCCTAATGTAAACAAACATATAATTACCCAGGCTTGAGTTCAACACCCAACTGAGTCAACCCCTGAGCTGAATGATCTCAGGCAGATCACCTGCTCCAGTTAGCACGCACATAAAGTGGGATCAGCCTGACTTGGAGCTGTTATGAGATGGACACCTCTAACAATTACACGCAATTGTGAGTGCTCACTCGTGTCCACCAGGATCCTCTGTCCATGGGACTTTCCAGGCAAGAACACTGGAGTGGGTTGCCGTTTCCCTTCCCCAGGGGATCTTTCCGACCGAGGAACCAAAACTGCGTCTCCTGCAGTGCATGTGGATTCTTTACCACTGAGCCAGCAGGGAAGCCGTAAGAACTGTAACAGGATTTTCATAAAGCAAATGAGTTTATGTTAGGGAGATGTGACTTACAGGAGGAAAGGAAGGCTTCTTCAAGGAATGGACCCTTAAAATTTATAACATAAGGAGAAGCTAAGTAGGCAAAGAAAGGAGGAAAAAATATTCCAGGCAAAGGTGACTCCCTAGGCAAAGGCCTTGGGCTGAAGTGAGTCCAGAGACCACAGGAATGGAAAGAAGAACAGTGTGAGCCCAGGAAAGATAAGGAGGGGAACAGTAAAGGGAAAAGAAGCTAAAGAAGTAGACATCCAAGACTATAGTAAGAAGTACGGCCTTTAGCCCAAGAGATAAAGGAAGCAATGAATATTTTTTAGTTGCGGGAGATGGGGAGGGTCATAGCTAAAGACTCTGATTTCAAAAGCTCACCTGGTCATACTATGAAGAAGAGACCACAGGTGGGGCAAGGCTGGCACAAGTGTTGGGAGACCATTCAGATGCTCCTGTGGTACTCCACTTGAACTAGGACCACTAGGATGGGGAGAAGCTGCTGAATTTAAGACCTAGTCCAGATGTAACTGCAACAGGGACTGGAGGAAGATCAAGGAGCCAAGAGAGAGGTTACAATGTTGGTGCAACTGTGTATGTGGTGGTGCCAGTCACTGGACCAGGATGAAAGGAGTAGAACCAAACTCACAGAAGAAGGTAAGAGTGTGACTCTAGACATGATGATACTTAAATCTCTGAGAAATCCAAGAAGAGAAGTCAAGTAAGTGGTGGGAAAAATTAAAAAACTGACATCAGATAAGAGGTCTCTCTCAAAAATACAAGTTCTGGATTGTCTGTGTATAGTTGTGAATATATGAGATTACCTAATGGTAATGTAAAGACAGAAAATAAGTGAGACTCCAAAATTTATAGACTAGAAAAAGAGGATTCGCTTCTCTATGAAACCATGGGAAAATGACATTTCTTGAACCAAAATAGCTGACTACCAGCAATTTCTATATGATTTAATCTAATAGAAAGGATGGCAAGAGGGGGAAAAGTCAGGCAGGTGTAATGTACTGACAAAGCCAAAATCTTTAAAGGAAGTGATGATGACCAATGCTGACATATGTTCCTGAGAAGTCAAGGAAAATGAGTGCAAAATATCCAATGGGTTTGGAGAGACTGATCACTATTTCTTTAACAAGAATTATTCTGGCAGAAAGATGGGGCTGGAAGTCAGTTTAAGATGAGAGAGAGGTAAAAAAAAGTATGGGCAATAAGTAAGTAATTCTTCTAAAGATCAAACAAGATAATATATCTAAAGGGATTAGAAGAGTGCCTAGGCTCATTTAAAGGGCTCAATAAATGGGTTAAACAATTAAACGTTTTTTATGCTACTATTAAGACTACTGGTAGCTTTAAAACTCCCACAGCACGTTTAACAATGCTTTGCACTTAGCTGGCACTCAATAAATATTTTGGATACGATGATAACTGTTAAGCAGGAACAAAGGGATGCTAAATCATTCTAAATAATTCGCAATTTAAGTAGCTATAAATTCTTCGAGAACCAGATGCCCTATTTTCCCTTCATTAAAATACAAGCTAATCTAAATACGATTCTGTGTTCTTCATTCTCAAATGCTGTGAATTAACAAAATTTTCCCATTAGAATATCACTAAATTACTACCATGATGAAGTTACCCCCTAAAAAAATAAAATTTGAGCTAGAAGTGAAATTGGTTACATTTTATGATATTATTGACTGTTATAAGATTTAATAAGGATACCTATGAGAGCCCTATAAAAGGAAAATAAGTAGAATCAGGAGCTTCTCTTTGCTATAGTCAATAAAAAGATGAGAGCTTCAAGGATATTCCAGAAAGTACACTGGCCACAGGTTAGGTATTCCTTTGTTTTATATTTACAGGTAATTGATGCTTGTCTTACCCACAGGTGAAATTTCATAAGGCAAAGAGGGCCTCAGAAAACCAAAACAGGTGCAGGATCTTCATCATCTAGAAGAAAATCAACTAAAGGTAATTTATGAATTTTGCATTATAGATGCAAATGGAGAATGGTCTTTGCCCATCTAGCACTTTTTCAATCAGGCATGACTCCCCCTTTACACATTCTCTCCCCACAAATCACATACACATTCCTTAAGACCTGAAAATTCTGGATCCCTCAAAATAAGAAAGTTGCCCCTTCTTCTGAATCCCTACTATTCTTTATTCATAATTCAATTTCAGCACCTAATACAATAGATTGTAAAGATGCTTTTATCTGTCTTTTCACAGCTCAATATCCCAACTGGACTAGGTGCATAGCAAAGCTGATACCTGGGACAGGCTGTGTCTTACTGCATTCTGAACATCTGATACAAAATTGATAACAAATGTTTGTTGGATAGAAGGTATACCCTAATAAATTCAATCTGATATAATGTATCAAATTAGGAAGGCAATAGCCAGGGGCAGTGTATTAGTTTCCTATGATTGTTGTAATAAATTCCCATGAACAAAAAAGTGGCTTGCAAATGTCACAAATTTAAGGCTTGTTTTCCTTCTGGAAAACTCATTTCCTCAACTTTTCCAGTTTCTAAAAGTTACCTGAATTCTTTGGCTCATGGTCCGTTCATTATTATCACAGCCAGCAGCACAGCATCTTCAGATCTCTTTGACATCCTGCCGTGCTCTCAGAAGGACCCTTATGATTACACTGGGCCCATCTGGAAAAATCAGGATAAGGAAAGGACTTCCTCATGGGAGGTTAATCACACCTGCAAAGTATCTTTTGCCACGTACGGTCACACCAGAACACAAACATCTTTTAGGGGCCATTATTTAGCCTAACAGGCTTCCCTGGTAGCTCAAATGGTCAAGAATCCACCTTCAGTGCAGGAGACCCCAGTTCGACTCCTGGGTCAGGAAGATCCCCGGGAGAAGGGACAGGCTGCCCACTGCAGTATTCTTGGGCTTCCCTGGCGGCTCAGATAGTAAAGAATCTGCCTGCAATGAGGGAGACCCGGGTTTGATCCCTGGCTTGGGAAGATCCCCTGAAGGAGGGCATGGCAACCCACTCCAGTACTCTTGCCTGGAGAATCCCATGGACAGAGGAGCCTGGTGGGCTACAGTCCACGGGATTGCAAAGAGTGGGACAGGACTGAGCGACTCAGCACAGCAAACGCAGTCTAACAGAGTCGGGCACACTGACAGCTGCAAAAACCAAAGGCCAGTAACCTAAAAACAAGGAGTAAAACAGAAAAAAAGATGGAAAGTAGAGAAAGCTAAAAATACACAAGCAACAGAAAATGGGGCAACCTGTGCCATATAACATGGGAAATAGTTACCTCTATGCTCTGTCAATGACCTGTGAGGGCAGCACTGCTTGATTTTGGTTTAATATTACAAACAGAATTCAAAATAATGACTTTGAGCCACGAAAAAAAAAAGAGTGATGTTTCATTCTGTAAAGTTCAAGAAAGAGGGCATGAGAGATTATGAAATATTTCAATAAAATGATTATCAGATTTGAAAGATAGGACTAAACCTTAGAGGGAGAAGCTTAAATTGTTCTTAAATGGAAAATCTCATTCTCCAGTACTAAATGAGATTTATTATGTGTTGTGGGCTAAATGAATGTTTGTGCCCCCCACCCCCCGCCCCAACTAAATTCCTACATTGAAATCCTAATCCCTAATGTGAGGGTACTAGAAGGTGAGGCCTTTGGGTGGTGATTAGGTCATGGGAGCGGAGCCCTCATGAACTGCCCTTAAAATAAAGACCCCAGAGAGCTCGCTCTCCTCTGCATCATGTGAAGATACAGGGAGAAAATGGCATGTGCGACCTGGCAGAGGGCCCTCACCAGAATGCAACCATCCAGGGCCTGATCCTGAACTCCAGCCTCTAAAACTGTGAGAACATAATACAGTCGAATAATGACTGTCTGAAAGTTTGACGAAATCATCCCTTAAGAAGTTATTTTAGAATCAACACATGAACTACATCATTATCAGTCTCATTACTTTGTAACAATACTTCATTTTAAACTGGAATAGCCTTGAGTTATCAAGATAGGGAAACATTAAACATGGTTTCAAATGATCTGGATCATGAAAAAAATCAAATGTCATATATCCTGATAACTGTAGAAAGACTGAGCTGCAAGATCTGGATGAAGTTCTAAAGGAGCAAAGACAAAAATAAAGCAGCGGTAATCACTAAAGTAAGACTTTAGCCTTTCCAGACCAACTCTTTGAACAGGGCATGTTCTTTGGAACTACATTATGGTATGCTGCTTAATGAGACTCTGGCTCTGATCATTAGTCACAACTTGTATGTATTATTCATTAAGTCATTTACATTTAAAGAACATTTAAATGCATTCAAGTTAAACTAAACTATACATCTACTGTATATCAATGCCTATTTATTACATGTATTATCACAAAACTCTGATTTGTATTAATGCTGACACTGTGATCCTTATGGATCTGGATACCAAACCCTGGAGACATATTTCTCCTCCATTTCTTCCACAGATGCTGGGAACTTGATTTCACAGGTTACAAGTTCCCACCCTCTAGACTTAAGAATCCTGATGATCTAAAGTCAAACTGTGAAGCAGGATTTATTTCACAGTCACATACACATAGCTTCACACACACACACTCCATATGGGCTGTCCAGAATCGCTAGCCATATATATTTCAAAACGCTGAGAACAGAGCCCCTTTAGCAGCTTCCTAGGTAAAGCTGGGGTCTATCAACGGAACTTGATATATGGCACTCTTGGTGGTCAGTAAGCCCCCATTCATACTCCTGACACCATTGTTTCCATTCTTATTCCATTGGCATAAGATCACTACATTCTCCAAGGGGGGGGGAAACTAAAAGGGATTCTCAAAGGCAACAAAATACAAACGGTGCAACTGGAATACCAAGCTATCAGTTAAAGTAGCTTTTTAAGGGTGTCTTAGTTTCTTTGGACAAACTCTGGGAGATAGTGAGGAACAGGGAGGCTCGATGTGCTGAAATCCAAGAGGTTGCCAAGAGTCAGACATGACCTAGTGACTGAACAACAACAGCAACAAAGTTTCTTTGGAGAAAAACCCAAGCAGAGAGTGCAGCTTTCTTAAGTTACAAACAAAGGGGAATAAATACAACTGCTAAGTTTCCTTCTGAAATGAATCCACTCTACTTTGCACAAGCCACATTTAAGAAATTCAGCGTTTCTTAAATTAACATTTGCAACCCTATGCCATATACATGGTAATGTTTCAATGCTTTTAAAAACATTAAAACCTTTAAATGATTCTTGACTTTGTATGATTATACATTGTGAACTTAACAGAGAGGAAATTTTAATGATTTTTTAGCAGTTCAGCTAAGAAAAACAAATTTCATATGCAGTTAAAATCCATAAGAAAATGTAAGAACCAAGTCACAATCATGGTGAATGTTGTTCAATGATGGAACTATATGAAACTGGACGCAAAGAATGGCAAAGTCAAACTATTATACAAAATTTGAGCAGAATATTTTCAAAAGCAATCACAAAAGTAAAAAATTCATGAAGAAGAAAAGCAGACACTAGTACCATCCTCTGACTGTACAAATGTAAGAGACTATATCGGTAGTGTTGGAAATGGCCTGCTGTGCGTATAGAAAGAAAGCAGCACATTCTTTCAAGTGTTTATAATTAACAGCCTGATTCACAACTCCAGAAATATCCAAGGAATGCCTTTCTGGACAAGGGACAATCTTTTAGAAGATAGAAAATGTTGCCCAAGTCAGTCACCCAAAAGCAACCGAACTCAGAAGGGATGGGAGCGCAGTGGTGTGGTCCCAGAGAGACCACTTCTGCACAAACACATGAGCTCCATCCCAGAGGAGAGTCACAACCAAACGAACCATGCCGGGGTTACATGTTGTCTTCCTACTCTTCCTGAGCGACGGTGAGGATGATGATACCTGAGCAACAGCGAGGACAGAAACCACGAAGCTCGCAAGTTGAGGGAAAGCGTCCTAAGGAATCAAACACCACCCTGCACCGGCCACTGTGAAGCCACACAGCACCCCCTGCCACCCCAGAGCTAGTCCTTCGTTATCCATCCTATGTCAAATCCCCTGGGCCTCTACAAGCACTTAGTATTTAATGAAATCCGAAAAGACCCATTTACTTCCCTAGCGGTAGTCTTGTTTATGGGTGTTGTGCCATTCCCGAAAACTCACATGTAGGAAGCAACTTAAAGAAATACCAGTGGCATAGAGTAACAGCAAGTACTTGCCAGAACATCACCCAATCTTGCAACAGGTGAGATAGGCACTGGTGTCAGAAGATTCCCACTGGAGACCATAAGAGCTTGACCAATTGGGAGACACAAGCAGCTGGAGCTAAAGGTCAAGCCATGGACAGAAGGTAACAGGCAACTACAAAAGACCACTTATGTGTCCACCAAGGAAGGAGATGAGAGCTGAGGGAAGTAGGAGATTCAAGTGAGAGGAAAGACTACAGATAAGACGGGTGGTGGGGGCTGGATCTGCACCTCCTACCTATCTGAGCTGTTGTTTTTTTTGTTTTTAATTTTTTTTTATTTTTTATTTTTATTTTTTTCCATTTATTTTTATTAGTTGGAGGCTAATTACTTTACATCATTACAGTAGTTTTTTTCATACATTGAAATGAATTAGCCATGGATTTACATGTATTCCCCATCCCAGTCCCCCCTCCCACCTCCCTCTCCACCCGATCCCTCTGGGTCTTCCCAGTGCACCAGGCCCGAGCACTTGTCTCATGCACCCTCTCCACCGACCCGTCCACTGTCACCACCCCCACACCTCACTCATGGTCCTACTGGGAGATACAGGGGTAAGAGAGACTGTTCTATATGCAAGTCATAGAAAAATTATTAGGATATGGCTCCTGATATCACGGGGCTCACAAAGAAGTGAGTAAAAGACAGATACCTAAAATAATTCTGACCCAGCATCATAAACACTGTGCAGTAAACGGAAGGATGACCAGAAGCTGGCCAGGAAGATAAGGTGGGAGTGGAATATGAAGGCAGGGAGAGAAAAAGAACGTGAACTGAGGTCTCCAGGTATCAAAGAAGTGTTCAGAAAATGCAAACAGCCCTGTGCATTTTAAAGGAAATGAGCACGGAGGAGTAGTTAGAAATAAGGCTTGGGATTTAGCCAAGGGACAGTTCATGGCCAATTTTTTAAATAACCAACACAAGGCAATAAATCTGGTACATCTGATCCATGGAGTTGCTTAAAGGGAGAAATGTCCTCCCTGAAATTTGATAAGAGAAATAGCTACAGCCCGCAAAGAAAAGCTAAAAGAGATGCATGGCTCTTCAGACTCAGCAACCATGCATTAACAATCAAGGTGGTCCATAGCACTAAAATGGCAATCTAACCTCAAGACCTGTGCATGCAGCCAGTGGCTGCTCCCACCCCGCTGCCCCTGCCCCACTATCACTCCGGATGATACTTTCACAATTCCTATGTATGTACCAGGCTGAAACCTGGATTTCTTACTGCTTACATGACCTCTGGCAGCAA